GCGGGGCGGGAGCGCGAATCCACCAGCGCAGGCCCCGGAGCACAGGGCGCCGGGACACAGCCCAGGATCCGGCCTCCCCCGGGACAGGCAGAGGCCGGGAGGGCCCAGGACAGCGAGGACGCTCCTGCCCCGAGCTGAGCAGATCAGCGGCCCCGCCCCGGAGCCTCCAGGCCCTGCAGACGGAGAGCCGAGAGCCCCGAGCCCCGTAGTTCCTGCGGAGGCTGAATCCAGGCTTCCAGAGTTGCCATAGCAACTGCGGCTGTTCCTCCTGGGGCCCCACGGGGTAAACAACCCCCGCTGAGCCCGGCAGCAGGCAGGGGCAGAGCAGCTCCCCCAAGTGCTAACACCTGAAAATCAGCACAGCAGGCCCCTCCCCCAGAAGACCAGCTGGACGGACCAGTGATACTCCCCCGTGTTCCAATACAACTTGTTTTTGGCCACTCTGCACTGAGCAAAATGACTAGAAGGAAAACCTCACCTCAAAAGAAAGAATCAGAAACAGCCCTCTCTCCCACAGAGTTACAAAATCTGGATTACACTTCAATGTCAGAAAGCCAATTCAGAAGCACCATTATACAGCTACTGGTGGCTCTAGAAAAAAGCATTAAGGACTCACGAGACTTCATGACTGCAGAATTTAGATCCAATCAGGCAGAAATTAAAAATCAATTGAATGAGATGCAATCCAAACTAGAAGTCCTAACGACGAGGGTTAACGAGGTGGAAGAACGAGTGAGTGACATAGAAGACAAGTTAATGGCAAAGAGGGAAACTGAGGAAAAAAGAGACAATCAATTAAGGGACCATGAAGACAGATTAAGGCAAATAAATGACAGTCTAAGGAAGAAAAACCTACGTTTAATTGGGGTTCCCGAGGGCGCCGAAAGGGACAGAGGGCCAGAATATGTATTTGAACAAATCCTAGCTGAAAACTTTCCCAATCTGGGAAGGGAAACAGGCATTCAGATCCAGGAAATAGAGAGATCCCCCCCTAAAATCAATAAAAACCGTTCAACACCTCGACATTTAATAGTGAAGCTTGCAAATTCCAAAGATAAAGAGAAGATCCTTAAAGCAGCAAGAGACAAGAAGTCCCTGACTTTCATGGGGAGGAATATTAGGGTAACAGCAGACCTCTCCACAGAGACCTGGCAGGCCAGAAAGGGCTGGCAGGATATATTCAGGGTCCTAAATGAGAAGAACATGCAACCAAGAATACTTTATCCAGCAAGGCTCTCATTCAAAATGGAAGGAGAGATAAAGAGCTTCCAAGACAGGCAGGAACTGAAAGAATATGTGACCTCCAAACCAGCTCTGCAAGAAATTTTAAGGGGGACTCTTAAAACTCCCCTTTAAGAAGAAGTTCAGTGGAACAATCCACAAAAACAAGGACTAAATAGATATCATGATGACACTAAACTCATATCTGTCAATAGTAACTCTGAACGTGAATGGGCTTAATGACCCCATCAAAAGGCGCAGGGTTTCAGACTGGATAAAAAAGCAGGACCCATCTATTTGCTGTCTACAAGAGACTCATTTTAGACAGAAGGACACCTACAACCTGAAAATAAAAGGTTGGAGAACCATTTACCATTCAAATGGTTCTCAAAATATACCCTAAAAACTACAGAACACTTCTGAAAGAAATTGAGGAAGACACAAAGAGATGGAAAAATATTCCATGCTCATGGATTGGCAGAATTAATATTGTGAAAATGTCAATGTTACCCAGGGCAATTTACACGTATAATGCAATCCCTATCAAAATACCATGGACTTTCTTCAGAGACTTAGAACAAATTATTTTAAGATTTGTGTGGAATCAGAAAAGACCCCAAACAGCCAGGGGAATTTTAAAAAAGAAAACCATATCTGGGGGCATCACAATGCCAGATTTCAGGTTGTACTACAAAGCTGTGTTCATCAAGACAGTGTGGTACTGGCACAAAAACAGACATATAGATCAATGGAACAGAACAGAGAACCCAGAAGTGGACCCTGAACTTTATGGTCAACTAATATACGATAAAGGAGGAAAGACGATCCACTGGAAGAAAGACAGTCTCTTCAATAAATGGTGCTGGGAAAATTGGACATCCACATGCAGAAGAATGAAACTGGACCACTCTCTTGCACCATACACAAAGATAAACTCAAAATAGATGAAAGATCTAAATGTGAGACAAGATTCCATCAAAATCCCAGAGGAGAACTCAGGCAACACCCTTTTTGAACTTGGCCATAGTAACCGGAGAAGGACAAACAGTGTATGTTCTCATTCATTTGGGGAATATGAATAATAGTGAAAGGGAATATAAGGGAAGGGAGAAGAAATGTGTGAGAAATATCAGAAAGGGAGACAGAACATAAAGACTTCTAACTCTGGGAAATGAACTAGGGGTGGTGGAGGGGGAGGAGGGTGGGGGGTGGGGGTGAATGGGTGACGGGCACTGAGGGGTACACTTGACGGGATGAGCACTGGGTGTTATTCTGTATGTTGGTAAATTGAACACCAATAAAAATTAATTTATAAAATAAAAAAAAAAAAGATTCAAATTTTAAAATCTAGTTTCCTTAAGTTTCTCATCCAATTTAATATCTTATTTACTATGCTTAGAAATCTAGTAAATTTTAAGGGCACCTGGGTGGCTCAGTTGGTTAAGTGTTTGCCTTCAGCTCAGGGGTCCTGGGGTCAAGCCCCATGTCAGGCTCCCTGCTCAGTGGGGAGTCTGCTTCTCCCTCTCCCTCTGTCCATCCCCCTGCCTGTGTGCTCTCTCAGATAAATAAACAAAATCTTTAAAAAAAATCTAGTAAATTTTAACAATCACATGCAAAGTGGTCTTTGATTTATGTTAAATCTACTCATGATGAACAGATTAAAAACCTTTAGGAAATGAATTGTTTACAATTTAAGTTATTCTAGAACTGTCAATATTCGTTTCAAATGTTATATTTTCATGAATACTTTAGATGAAAAGAAAGTTAAAAAGCAAAATGTTCCCAATTCTCAAAAATCTAATAAAGTAAACACAAATATGTTGAATCTCAAGTTCTTTTAAAAATTTAAATGCTGTTCACAAACAGGAACATTGTCTCATTTTTCTCAACTAAAAAGTCACAAACCTAAGTCAATTCAGATTTCAAGTTGGAATCAGATATTTTAATATATCAAAATCCTTAAAATATTACAAACACCTAAAATATTAATTATTCTCAGATTATTCATAGAAAACCAATAATACAGTGGGCTTGATACACTTCATCTGCATATTAATTCCAACCACTGGAGAAGCCAGTGGGGTTACCATTCTAGGGGAACCAGCAAACTTGTATTCAATTTTATAACCAAGAAAAATAACTGTTTCTCAGATATGGACTTAGGTTATTTTTCCTTGGGAGAGCTAAACACAATTCTCAAAGGAAGGTGGCCTATTTAAAACATGTAGATTTAAATTTCATCCTCGTATGCTTTAGTAAATAAAATTTTCTAAAAGGTTTGACAGACGATGACTTGGGAAGAATACTGAATATTTTAAAGCTTCTAGAAAGTAACAATATTATCTGTGTACTTCTATTTATAGAATGACATGTACCAATTAATTCTAATACCAATTGATTATGACCTTACTATAATCAAAGTTTTAATAAATAAAGTGTATGGTGCCTGGCTCAATTCCTAACACTACCAAACTAACAGCCTAGCAGAAAAAGAGATATATTTGTCCAAGTATCCCTATGTCCTTCCACAGTCAATATCTGGCATTCGTTGAAAAATTAAAACACATCAGAAAGAAAGGTAGGTTAGCCAACTGTCAAGAGACACAGCAATCAACAGAATGAGACTCAGGTATGACCCAGATATTGGAATTGTCAGCCAGGGAACTTAAAAATTACAATACTATTTTAAAGATTCTACTGTAATTTCATTAGAGAGATAAATTTTTGAAAAGAAAAAACTTACTAGGCCTAGAATAGTTAGAAGAAATACAAGTTCTATACTTGAAAGAGAAAACAAGAAAATAAAAAAGCAAAACTGAATCTATAAAAAAAAACTGTAAATACAAAGGACAAAATGTCAATTTTAGATTAAAAGCTAGATTGGTCAGTAAGCAAAATATTTGATCCAAAAGATAAAGATATGAAGAATATAAAATAAGAATTTTTAAAATGAAAAAACTCAAATAATTAATAGCACGTAAAACAGCGCACAATCTTTACAATATCCAAAGAAAGGCAAATTAAAATAATGAGGTACTATTTCTTGATAATGAAGTTAACAAAGATAATGAAAGCATTAATAATGTAAGGAAATACAAAACGGGGAACATTTTGAAAAATATTTCTCTGTACATATCAGAACCCCTGCAAAGGTTTTGCTCTTTTACTCAGTAGCAGTATTTTAATGATTTATCTTGAGAAAATAAATCCAGATACAGAAAAACACTGGATATACATCTGATTATTACTTATAATACCAAGATACTAAAAACAGCCTAGATGTCCACTGTAATGTATCACAATCTTAAAGGAAAATAAGAAGTTTTCAGATGTCCATTTCTTAACTTTTTCCTTCTGTTTTTCCACGCCAGGGGCTCTGCACCTCAGGAGGAGAACAGTCACTGCACCATCCTGCACATTTTCATGTTTGGTCTTCCTTTATTCCCTTGCTGAGTTATTTTGAGTGACTCATTCTAAACCCCTCAGAGTAGCTTCTCATTCTATTCTGCTAAAAGGCATTTTTACACCAATACTCAATGTTCAGAACCACTGGCACCAACCTCTACCTGCAGGTCACTGTACCCTGCAGTCTGCTGCCCACCTTGCTGACCACTCTCCTTGTTGCATCATCAGCTCTCCTGCCCTCCCAGCTACGCCTCCACCTCATCGGTGCTGGTCTGTCAAGAGGATTCACACAGGAATCCAACAGCTCCAGAAAGGACACCAGAGACGCAGAATAGGTAATGATAACACGTATTATCAATCAGAAAAGTGGGTACCTGCGGTCCTCGCAGCATGACCTTGCATCGTGGTAAGTGATCATAATCACACGTGCAGAGAACATGTGCACCTGAACGCCCGCTGGCAGTGGACTGCAGGGCCACAGCAGAGTTGATGCGCGTGAGGACCTCCGTGGCACAGACGGGTGTCTGAGAGTCTGAGGCCCCCCTGACCGCAGCAATGCACTGCAGGGAACAGGTGTGGTCTCACTTTGTGCAGGCGGGCACACGTGCCAGGCTGACCCACACAACCACGCGGTAATACTGTTCTCTGAATCCACATCCCCAAGATACTCACATTGCCACGTTTGAACAGCTGGTATTTTACTGCAAGACAGTGCACTCCCCCGTATGAGAGATTGTAGCTCGTGGTTTTCTACCAATTACTCAAATGCCTCTAAATTGTGTGGTCTTCCTCCTCCACCCAAAATGTTGGTGAGGATTTTCTACACCCTTTTCACCCCTGCTCTGGGACTCCCCCGATGACAGTGTTTGTGCTAGTGCTCACGTGCCACACGCCCGTGCATTTCTGTAGTTGAGAGCAAGCGCCCGAATGACAAACACTGGCTGCACAAGAGAACACACCGAAGTCCTCCTCTCCCAAGCCTGCCTTCCTGCACGCGATGAAAATGGGTGCATCACCTTAAATGTGACAGGATTTCACCCAGACAAAGGCCAACAGATATGGGAAATGCAAGGAAAGCCTCGTAGGGAGTGGAGCCACCCCCCCTCCCCGCCCCGAGGAGACTGTACCTGGGGGGTTGCCGGGCTGAAGGCCACACTGGTGACGGTGTCCGTGTGTCCGGCCAGTCTGTGAGAAAACGTGCTTGAGCCCAGTTCATACATGTAGGCCTGTAAGACAAGCACATGGGCTCCATGCTCACAGGGCCAGCGGTGAGCAGGAGTCGCACACAGCAAAGCACACAGCCGGCATCTGGGAGGCAGCAGGTGACCTGACACCATCAGGGAACCCACTCGAGGACACATGCATTTCTCCTCCTCGCCTTTTCAGGTCTTTATAGTCTTCATGCCCACAGCCCCTCGTGCCTCCACAGTCCAATCTTACCTGCAACCCCCAAACAGTGACAAAGTGCTGTTTTATGGTCTTTTCCCATAAACTTGAGGCAAAACATTGTACTCTGCTTCCTACTAATCAGTCTGGAATTTGAGCAATTCAAACATTTTTAATTTTCTCTATAGCTGTCAATAAAATTAAAAGTAAGAACTTACATTCCTCACTAATGGCATTACTATCTAAAAGGATACGTATGTGTGTATATATACACATAGATGTCACCAGAAACTTTATTTTGGGGACAGAAATCCGGTATCGGAGACCATCTTGATGTGATAGAAGAGGTGAGAAATTCATTCTAGTTTTTAAGTAACAAATGTGCAGACAAGAATTTTGTGGATTCTACCAGTAATAAAGAGAAATGGCACATCACAGCAGAGGCAGGACACCTAGGCAATTCCTTTTTCCACATACACACACACACACACACACACACACACACACACACACAAAAACCACAGCCTTTCGGCCGGAACCACCATCTTTCAGTAATTCACCAAAATGACCAACACAAAGGGAAAGAGGAGAGGTACCCACTATATGTTCTCTAGGCCTCTTAGAAAACATGGAGTTGTTCCTTTGGCCACATACATGTGAATCCATAAGAAAGGTGATATTGGGGATATCAAGGGAATGGGCACTGTTCAAAAAGGAATGCCCCACAAATGTTACCATGGCAAAACCGGAAGAGTCTACAATGTTACTCAGCATGCTGTTGGCATTGTTGTAAACAAACAAGGGCAAGATTCTTGCCAAGAGAATTAATGTCTGCATTGAGCATATTAAACACTCAAAGAGCTGAGAGAGCTTCCTGAGGCGTGTGAAGGAAAATGATCAGAAATAGAAGGAAGCCAAAGAGAAAGGTACTTGGGTCCAACTGAAGCGCCAGCCTGCCCCACCCAGAGAAGCACACTTTGTGAGAACCACTGGAAAGGAGCCTGAACTGCTGGAACCCATTCCCTATGAATTCATGGCATGATAAATGTAAAGAAAATAAAAGACCTCAGGATTGTATAAAAAAGAAAAAAAGAAAAAAAAACTATTTTAATGCACAAATGAGCCCTTCAAATTTAGAACTTCCAGATGATCCTGTCATTGGCTACACAGGGGTTTCTGAAACAAAGTCTATTTGTTTCAAAAAGACACACAGAGATATTCTGTGTGTCTTGGAGTGGAAAAATCCAAAGTGTGGATGTTTTCCTGGTGGCCCAGGAGCAGCTCCTGGCCCGTGCACTCCTAGCAGCTCCGAAGCGCCCAGGGACGGTCACACTGTGTGGTTCACAGGCCCCAAAGGGACATTTCACAGCTGCCACATACATCAGGTGGTCCCCTCGTATTCACTGGGGAAAGCAGGTCATGCAGGGACTAGGTGACCGGTACTGACGCAGAGCATCAACACTCATGTTCTAACTGGGTTTTTCGGACTCTGAACTCGTGGGTTGTCCATAAGGCTGCCTCTGAGCTTACCTGTCCACAATGGACTCGGGGCCTCTTCACACTCACTCCTGGCCTGCAGGTGCCTCAACGCTAGCCTCACCGCCCCACGGTCTCCCTGCAGACACACTCAGGTGGAGAACCCTCCTGAACAGCACTGGAGGGCTCCTGGGGACGCAGGCCTCTCCTCCCGTCTGCCGCTGAGGTTAGTGGCTGAGGGGACCCACCCGGGCCACAGCTCATCTGCGCCTGTCATGTCTCATCATCAAACAGGAAGGTCAATGACAGCACACACTCACCGCACACTGACACGTGCAGCAACTCCCTCCTGTCATCCTGTCCACCTCCCCAGAACTGCCACCGTCCCCATTCCACGGACGAGGACACCGGGGGCCACACAGCTGCTCATGTCACAGTACGAGCACCGCACCAGTGCCTCCCTGGAGCTTTGCCCACTCGGCACGTTTCCATCACTGATCAGCTTTGCACAACCATCTGTGCACACATGTGGGTGTGGAAGAGTTGATGCCACACTGACAGTGGTCCAGCCGCACAGAAGCCTGCTTGGCAGTTTCCAGGGGGGTTAAACCTCCACCAGCCCTCAGGCTCCATGGCCTCACTCCTCCACGTTAGCCCAAGAGAAACACAAGGTCCACGCAAAGACCTGCACAAAACTTTTCACAGCCAGCTATTCAAAAAAGTTAAGCTGACAGCTACTTTATGCCCAAATATAAACTGTGTGCCAGTAAAAGATGTAATTCTCAGAAGCGTACATTGATCTCACACACCCTGAATCTCTCTAGACCCCAAACCACAGAGAAAAACAAGGAGCAAACATCTCACCACTGGGGCATCTCCCCAGGGAAGCCACCAGAACCCCCTGAGAAGGGCTGCATGGAGAAATGACACACAGGTCTGCACACTCCCGGTGAAGTGACCACCAGTGCATGACGAGAGCCAGCAGCTGCACCGTACTGGGGATGCAGGAAACGGGCCAGCATTCACTGTGACGGGTGACAAGGGCCGTGAGCTACAACAGAAGATGAGGGACAAGTGGGAAGCATGAGGAAAGAAGCGAACGTGGAGAGAAGCATGAGAGCAAAGGATTTCAAGAAATAAGAAACAGCACAAAAGAGGCCGGGAGGTGAGGAAATCAGGCCAACAGTGCTAATGTTTCAGGAACCAGCTTCAGTACAATGTGGGACATAAACCCAATTACTGAAGAGTCAAGTACAAGCTGATGGCTCCGGTCAACATGGTGAGACTCCAGGAAATGTGCCCACAGAGCTGGAGGGACGGCCACTGGGCTCGGCAGAGACGGAGCAGCCTCTCCCGTCCTCCCCAGGGAGCCAGAGGAGCGCCAGGCTGACAGGTACAGGCTCTGAAATTAGAGCACAGGGAAGGTCAACGTGCCTTTCTTTTCAGACCAGTATCTGGAAAAGTCCTTCCTGAGACTCATGTTTTTGCTGGATTTCAAGTGGGAATCAGCGGCTGCCTTGCATCTGCACAGATCTCACAACGCACGCAAAATGATGCCATGATTTTGTGAAGGAAGTCTAGACAAGGGTCATTGAAGAAACAGCCTTTCATGTACTCTAATGAAAGTGCTTTTAAATGACACATCTCTTTTCTCCGGGGAGGTTCCTGAATTCCAGTGAATCTTTCTGGTCACAGCAAAGATTAAACGTGAAAACAGCAGTCTTGCAGGTGCAAATAACAGAAGTCTCTTATTAGATACGCACTTGCCACGAGCTGCACTTGCAAACAGCGGCAACAATTCCACCACAACGGACAAGACACACCTTGTTTGATGCTGAAAACTCAGGAATCCACCTGCAAACGATTCGATCTGTTACCATCTGTGTGCAGAACACTGTGTTTACTAGCAGAGCCAATAGTAGTAATTTGAAGCCGCTCCTCCCCATCAAAGCGAAATAAGCCGGAGCTAAAATGTGCTAAGAAACAAATGACACTTGAAATAAATCCTAAGGAAGTAAGGCTCATCTGGAAGCTAAGGTAATAAGCACAAAGGGGCCGTGTTGTGCAGGCCCAAGATGAGGATGCGGCAAACCAGGAGGGCACTGGGAAAGCGCTTCACCGTTGAAAACATTTCCGACGCCGTCAGGGACCAAAGGTACTGCTGCCAACAGGACTAGACCGCTTCATTCCAAGTATTTTGTGATTCTGTTGAACCGTATCCTTGAAAATTAAGCTCCTTCCATTTTTCCATCTTACATTACTCTTGACACATATCCTTCATTTCCCTCTGCCTGGATTTTCTCCACAGAAGAAATGGGAAAAGGAATTGCAAACAGAAGTTCACACCGTAGTCCTGAAGCTTCCTAACAGCGGTGATACTGTCCACGGGACGGTCAACGGTCACACTATGGTCACTCACTTACTTTTTAAAATGTTTCCAGAAATGATGTTTCCCAGAACTGTGCATGTTGCTGCAGACCACTGCATTTTTAGCTCGCATGCATTAAAAAAAGTAAAGTTTTCTCAGGAGACCCAAATGTTCAATATTTAACACCGGCATTATTAAGAAATCACATTAGGGCAGAAACGTTGCCTACTTTCAGCAGAAGCCAGGATTCAGTCAGGAAGCCACTGGTTTTGGCCCAGAAGCTACTTGACCTCCACCAAGTGAACAAGGGATGTTCATGACGGGGCTCTGGGTTCTCACTCACATGCAACCGCCTTCTCTCAGCGACCTCCACCACGGTCTGGCAGACACAGGGATGCCCTCTGCCCTGCTCCCTGCCACGTCCTCTTGCAGGGCCGTGCAAGGGGTCGTTGGCACGGCACGGGCTGCTGGTCACCCACTGGGCAGTCACACACCTGGGCTGGCAGCAGCTCTAACAGTCCTGCATGGACCTTCATCAGCTTCATTTCTAATAACAGCCTGGTCTCCTTCAGCAACCCTGGACCTATGACCAGTTACATAACCAGTCATCTCTAAGGATCCATTACTTCATTCTTTGAAAATGTGATCACGTAGTGAGAAGTCGGGGCAGAGGGATCTGGCAAAAACGCTGCTTCTATCAACCTGTATGTTGGCGACACCCCGATGGAGTACCCCAATCCCACCAAAGGTCTCTATACCATGAGATTCTAGCAAGCATCACTGAATGCAGCTACAGAGTCCACTTTATCCACAGGGCAGACATCAGGGCACACTGCTGAGGAGTCTGAGGCTGGGACACAGAGCCAGCCTCTCCTGAACCTGAGGGCCCTCCTTCCTGCACAGGGGTCTCACACAATGGAAAAACCTAGGTCCTCTATGTCTGCTTCTATTCCCAAAGTCAGTGCTTGGCTTTATTATGAAGACTTTCAAATATAC